TGATAATGGTGATTCGTCGCTTGATAAATAGAAGACAGGTAAGTTAATACGAATCCAATATGAATATATTTGTATTAATATTTTCGCCGCCACTATATATTTATCTTTTTCTATTATAGGATTACTAACTCTCGTCCGTCTGTCTTCCTTTAGGACTCTCTACTACCAAACAACGATATCTTAGTAAGTTCTGAGATGTCTCCACCTCCACCTGAGATGCCTCCACCATCTTATTTCGAACTGGATGAGATGCCTCCACCATCTTATTTCGAACTGGAGATAGATGATCAGAACTGCTGTGACTACAACTCCATTACCTCTACGCTCATAACCCCACCGCTAGGAACAGCTGTGTAAAATGTATATTAAAGTAAAGAGTGTTTATTATTACTGTTCCGACAACCAACTTTGAATACATGGGAAATATTTTTATTACAAATGCTAGGCAAGAACTGTAAAAACAATCCGAAAATGTTTTAGTGTGTGTTGCCTTTTTTTATTTAGTTTCTGTGTTTTGTGTTATACATTATATTTGTCTGGTTAGCGCTTGTATCTTTCCTAGCAAATAAAACTATTTTGTTTTTAATTTTATTTTTTTTTAAAAGCACTGGATTAGGGTTACCACTGTGAGAATATATAAGCAACTGGATGAGTGTTACTAATCCCAGATTTAATAGTACCTCCCTCAAGCAATGAGGTTGACGGGACTGGAAAGTAAAACAACGCTACTGGTAATATGGATATTATGTTCATTGACCGTCATCTATCTTATCTTTTTGGGGATATGCATAACATCCTACTTCAACGAGGCATCCACCCCCAATTGTACTTACATTAAAATGGTGATGGAGTACCTGTTCAACTCGATAGTGCTAGTGGTATTGGTTTCTACAGCGATATTAGTAGTCAAAAAAACGGATTACTGTCAACAGCATATGACAGGTAAGTTAATAAGAATCGAAATCTGAACATATTTAAATTCCACCGATTTTATTAATGTAAATGTAATAATGTCTAAGGGGTCTTGGGGTATCTTTTAAATGTGGAGACTCATGGACGACATTTGAGGATGGTTACTTATAATGGTGATGGGTTATCTGATGAGTTACCTGTTTAACTCGGAGTGATAATAGAGGTAATGATGATTGCTCGTAGTGTTATTAAAAGACGCTCGATTACTATTAACAGCATCAAACAGGTAAGTTAATACGAATCCAATATGAATATATTTGTATTTATTTGTTTATTAATGTTTTCGTAATTATTTATAAGTTACTAGCTCCAATCTTTTTCTACAATGAGGTTGCTAACTCTCGTCTGTCTTCCTTCACATTCAGGACTCTCTACCAGACAATGATACCCTAGCAAGCTCTGAGACTCCACCATCCTATTTCGAACTGAAGATAAGTTCTGAGATGTCTCCACCTCCACCTGAGATGCCTCCACCATCTTATTTCGAACTGGATGAGATGCCTCCACCATCTTATTTCGAACTGGATGAGATGCCTCCACCATCTTATTTCGAACTGGAGTGTATAACACCACCACAAATCTTTGATTGTTAGTCTGTACTGGTTCTTTAAACTTAATAATATATGAAAAAATAAATTAAAAAAAATATATACTGAAATCCTTTTATTTTACTTTTTATATAAGAAAAAAATTTCTTTTAAGGCCACAAACATACACAACATCTGAATTTACCTAGAATTAGAATTCAAGCTAATAGGTAGTTGTGCCAATATACATTTTACAAAAAAACTCTGGATAGTATAAATTACGTTACGTTTAGGTATTAATGCATGCATGTAGGATTGCGGAATGTGTGAAGCCCTCTTACGGGTGTGAATATTATAAAAACATACTGCTAAATACCTTATACACTCTGGAATTCACAACATTTCTGTGATGTAGAAATATCAACTGGTGGATCAGTTGTGAAGGTGAGAAACGAGAAACATTATTACTGATATAATGCACTAGCTATTATTTATTGATACAATTCACTAGCTACAGTGTTTGCAGATTTTTTTTTTTAAAAGGGGCTGTTCATTAGAATATCCGAAGTATGAAACGATGGGCTTCATCTTTCCCTAATTTATTAAACTGGCAATGGAGAAAGAGTTTCTTGAGACTCCCTCCTAAAGAAATTATATTGCATATAAGTAAAACTAGGCGGGTCCCCCTATGGGACGTACTGATAATGGTTATCATTATGATCATTATGAAATAGACTTTGTTGATTAAACCCAGGAATAAATTCGTAAAAAATGTTGTTTAGTAAAAGAAACTATTATGTTTGTTTGTAAAAAATGTTTTTTATTAACACTAAGTCGCTAAATAATAAATGTTAGTCTTGAAAGGTTAATGTTTTTCTTAACATTTATTGTTGCCTGTCCTTGAGAATTTATAACAAAAATAATATACTTTTTTATATGAAAAAAAAAATATTCTTTTTAAAGCATCCTAGAATAGAATTCAAGCTAGCAGACAGTCGTCGAATGCGTGCGTTATCGTTAAAAAAAAAATTAAAAAAAAACTGACAACTCTCTCTAGTATAAATTACGTTAGGTTTTAGGTATTAATGCATGAGGATGACGGCATGTGTGAAGCCCTCACCCTCTTTTTACCGGTGTAGTAATATATATTATCCATGTAGTAAATATTATCCAAAAATACTGCTAAATACCTTATATACACTCTGGAATTCACAACAGTTCTGTGATGTAGAAATATCAACTAATGGAACAGTGGTGAAGGTATTTACTAGCTATTATTTATTGATATAATTCATTAGCTACAATGTTTGCAGAGTTTTTAATGTTTTTTTACTGGATGGTAAAACATTGGTAAAGTAAACATTTTATTCCAGACTCACCGTGTAATACTCTCAGCGGGAAGCCCCTATTTTAAGGCCATGTTTACGAGTGGTTTTGCTGAGAAAACACAGTCTTCAATAGAAATGAATTTCATAAAACACAATATATTAATTCAGATAATCACATTCATGTATACTGGTAAGGATAAAGAAAACATATGGAACATATTGACTAATTATATGATATATACGGAACATATTGACTTTTCATATTGCTAATTATATGATATAACTAACCTTATGTAAGACAATTATTAATTGATTGATTAATGGATGAAAATGTTTTTTTAAAATCTGTAGGAAAGATTGAGATAACAGTGGAAAACGCCGAAGAGTTAGTTGTTGCTGCAGACATGATGCAAATGGACTATGTTGTACATGTTTGCACAAACTTCATCAGATGGAACATTAATGCATCCAATGCTTTAGGAATTTACAGGTAGGCCTACAGTATATTATTACATTAATATATAATATTTTTATTAAAAAATGATAAATGATTTAGCAGAGTATGTTTGTTTTTTTATACTATACGATACAGTAATCCAACAACACTAATTTGTGTTTATTTTAAAACAGGTTTGCTAAGGCCTATTCCCATGTCTCTCGTCCATTCGAATATCTGAAGTTTATTTCATATGCAATATGCGAGGCAAATTTTACTAAAGTGGCACTGGAGAAAGAGTTTCTTGAGACTCCCAAAGAAATTTTATTACATCTTCTGGAGAGAAGGAAAAGGATATCTCCCTATCTACCATTAACATTGGAGCATCTCCAACATATAAGTAAAACTAGGCGTGTCCCCCGTACAGGATATACTGTAAGTAAAACTGGTGAGAGAATTTATGGTTATTTATGGAGTGAAATAGGCTTTGTTGATAATACCCAGGAATAAATTAGTAAAAAAGATCATTATATTGTATAACTTTCTTGGCATTTTAGTAAATATAGTATGTTTTGTTTGTAAAAAATGTTTTTGTTTCAACATAAGTGTCTGTCTAAATAATAAATGTTAGTCCTGAAAGGTTAATGTTTTTCTTAACATTTATTGTCATCCCATCCTTGAGAGTTTATGATAAAAGCTTAGACAGTATAAATAGTCGGTACTCCGTTCTTAGATTGTTAGTCTATGCTGTTTTGTTCTCTTGTCTTTGGCAACCAATTATCTGTGCGTACGTGCATACTCTGATCTTGGCAGTTATCGGTAACATGGCAAACAACAAGAACAAGAACAAACGCAAATCCCTGACTGTCAACAAAAGAAAACAAAACCGTGTTCGTTGTCACATATGTAACTACGTCATCAGGAGAAAAGAAAACTTAAAATACCATTTAAATACTCATTACGGAAAGCCCTATAAGTGTAAGAAATGTAATAAGGAATATAGCTGGCCTCACTGTTTAAGGAACCACAAATGTGTTTTTGCTATAAATTTGCTCGAATACAAAGAGAAAAAAAAAAAAGAAGAAGAGAAGAATATTTATTACTACTTTCATTCTGAAAATTCAGACCACCCCCCAAAATGGGTACCCACCAAAGATGATTTTATTTTCATGTCAGATTTCATAATCTGTATTAAAAGAGGAGAAAAAATATATGAGAAGGCAGGCAAAAATGGCATATACACACGGGGCTATGTATATAATAGAATAAATTTTTCTTCTACAAGATGGAAATGTAGCTACTGTAACAGTAAAATAGAAATATTAAAAAAACAACAATCAATATTCCATAACCACCTACCATCTCGCATTAAATTGGAGGGTACAACATTACCATCAGAGTTAAGAACGATGGAAAAGCTTGTAACTCATATTAAGCAGCAGCAGAAAACGTTTTCCCTGTAAGATAATAGAGGAATAGGAAGGTAGAAGGTAGCAAGTAGCAAGATTAGTTTCAGTAAGAAAAGTAGTTGGAAATACTTTGAAAATTAACTGGGACCCTGACTCATATCCATCAATCCCCCACCCCCACTCCCCTCAAGGGTCCCTGTGTCTCCGTAGCCTATAAAACCAAGCCTACACCAGAAAAGTTTGTTTGTTAATAGCTTGCTCCATCCAGAGTAGTTACTCATTCGTTACTCCTACCTTGACTTTATACTGCAACCAACAACGGGAAAATATGGAGGATCAACAATTGAAGCGGGAAGGTAGTCAACCCTTTGATGAAGAGAAAAAGAAGCTACAGCTACTTAATGCTGTGTTGAAAGCTGAGTTTGCTGAGTTGGAAGAAGAAAAAAGGAAGATACTTGATGAGAAAGAACAATATGAAGAAAAAAAGAGGCTACTTGATGAGAAAGAAGAACTTGGTGCTAAGTTGGAAGAAAAGAGGCTACGTCATGAGAAAGACCTTGATATTGAGTTGAGCAAGTTGAAAGCTGTGAAAGAAGAACTTAATGTTGAGTTGGCCAAGTTGAAAGCAGTGTTTGCTGATTTGGGAAAAAAGAAGAGGCTACTTGATGAGAAAAAAGAACAATTTTATGCTGAATTTGCCAAGTTGAAAGCTGAGTTTGCTGAGTTGGAAAGAAAGAAAAGGCAACTTGATGGTGAGTTGGCAAAATCAAATTTAAATTTGGCCGAGTTGGATGAATTGAAAGCTAAATTGAAAGGTCAGGAGGTTGAGTTGGATGAGTTGAAAGCTAAGTTGAAAGATGAGTTTTCTCAGTTGACTGAGTTGAGGAAAACGTTACAGGTTTTAAATGCTGAATTTAGAGAACGAGAAAAAGAGAAGCTATTTGATACTGAGTTAGAAAAGAAGAGAAGAAGCTACGTAATTGTGACAGAGTGTTATGATGATTATGATGATGATGAGTTGGATGAGGATGATGATGATGAGTTGGATGAGGATGATGATGATGAGTTGGAAGAGAAAGAAGAGAAGGAAAAGACTATTTATTACTACTTTTCCAAACCTTCTGAATTGTCTTCTGACATCAATTTTGACTTCGAAATATCCGAGTCCGAATTTCATATGCTAGATTTCATAATCAGTATTGACAGTGAAGAAATAATATTTACGGAGGCAGGCAAAAATAATATATGCATTCAAGGCCATATATATTGTAGATCATCTTCAACATCAACAACATGGAAATGTTGCGACAACGATTGCGACAGTACAATCGAAATATTTAAAAAACAACAATCAATATTCCATAACCACCCACCACCTAACATTGAATTGCTTGATTTGTCAATATTATCATTACCATTAGAGTGGAGGACAATGGAAAAGCTTGTAACTCATATTAAAACAAAGTCCAACATAAGTTTGTAGATACATACAGGCCAATTCAGAGTAATCCTCAGAAAACTAGATCATAGCCAACAGCACAGTAAAGCAGCAGAAAAGCCTTCGTAAAATGTTTTCCCTGAAAGTAGTAGTCATAATTTTGCTCTCTATCAGTGCACCGCCCTCAAGTGGGCGGCTCTCTCATCAGTGCATCACCCTCAAAAGGGATCCGCCCTCAAGGGTCTTATCAACCAATCCCACCTTGTGTGTGTGTGTGTGTGTGTGTGTGTGTACCTGTGCCTCCGTAGCCTATATAACTAAGACAGACCATCATCCCAAAAGTTGTAAGTGGAAACACCCAGCTCAAGTGGAAACATCCAGCAAATGTAAAATGTAGTTACTCTACCTTTGACTTATACTGAATAGTAGATTATGGATCAGCAATTGAAGAAAAAGAAGTCTTTTATTTGTAATATATGTGGCAAGAAATTAAGTAGGTTAAGCAACCTTCGCGATCATCAGTTTCTCCATAGTTCTGAAAAAAAATTTAAATGTGAGTTATGTGACAAGCGATTATATACTAAGAACAGCCTTGCCAAACACCGAATCCAACACTTTAGAAATTATAGCTGCAATATATGTAACAAGAACTTCACCCAAAAATTTCCGCTCTACAAACATATGTTCTCTCATGTTGAGGAGAAACCCTTTAATTGTGAGAGATGTAATAAGGAATTTTGTCGGGAAAATAGTTTGATTACCCACATGGCCGCCACACACTACTCTCTGAATACCGACAATCAAATTCATATTCGCTGTAATATATGCGACAAGATGATAAACAAAAAGAACTTAAAATATCACATTAACACTCATATAACAAAAAATTATGAAAAGACATTCAAGTGTAATATATGTAATAATGAATTTAATTTACCGGGACTCTTAAGAAGACATCAGAATCAGACCAAGTGTAGGGTAAGTGTCGTATGGGTGACATTATATGTTTGCATACAGATTCAATTGATAATTTATATTTACATTGATCCATTAAAACTATAAACCTTATATATTTTTTATTTTTATACAGAATAACCCATCATCCAGCAACAACCAACAATTTGGATAAACACCATAATTTGGATACCTACAGAATCTGTTGGACCTGATTTATGAATAGGGAATGAAATAAAATAAAGCAGAATCCTATCGACCCAAGCAACAAAATTTCTGATTTATGTTTTATAGTATATTATGAATGCGCCCGCCAATGTATACAAATTGTCTTTTATAAAGGTGGATGGACAGGACCAGAATTTTATATACTTATATTGTGAATGTTGTATATTATGAGGTTCTTTTATAAAGGAATGGACCAGGATTTTATATGTTATATTATGAATGCTGCCAATGTATATAATGCAATACAAAGTTGTGAGGGTTGTGGTACTTGTATTCCAAATATTATATTAGAAAAATAAATGAGGATGTTCTTTAATGTTCAAACAAAATGAATTTCTCTTATGGATGATGGTAAAACGCATTATTATATTTAGAAAAATAAATGTTGATAAGTTTAAAAAAATATTTTTTATTTTACATATTGCTCACTGACTTTTTATTCTTGTATTAGATGGGTGGATTTGGAATTGTTTTTAAGACTCAGACTCCAATTTTTTAATCAACCTTTTTTTTTATTTTTTTTTTATCGCAACTATTCTTTTTTACTTTCTTTTTTTCGCAACTTTCTCTTTTACTTTCTTTTTTTTGGGGCAATTTTCTCTTTGACATTCTTTTAGAAAACTTCCCCTCTATAACTTTCTCTTTCTCAACTTTCTCTTTACTTTCTTTCTTTCTCATCTTTCTTTTTACTTTCTTTCTTCTTTACTTTCTCTTTACTTTCTTTCTTTAACCCCTTTCTTTTCCTTTCCTTTCTCTCTCCATGCTGTATGTCTCTTTTGTCTGGTGGGTAAGAAACAACAAACAAGCAAATCATGTCTGCCATAAAAAAATAAACTTTAATAAGAACATTGAGCAACGGTTAAGGGGATTTACCCAGGGGATTTTACCCAGCCCAGAAAGTAATAAATACATTCTCAGGGAATTTACCCACATCCTGCCACACCATAAACTGAGTAAGATTAAGAACATCCTGTTGTCACACACACATGAGGTCACTGGGTTTTTCAGGGGACTTACCCACATCCTGCCACCCTGTAAAACTGAGTGGTGGAATCTCTTAGTTAGTTGAAGACAGACCTTCAGTGTGCCCAGTGGAATATTTCGTGGTCTTGGTGAGTGTTATTAACTAATTTGGGAAGAGATAATACATTTTGTTATTTTTGTGTGTGTGTGTGTTGGTGTGTGTGTGTTGGTGTGTGTGTGTTGGTGTGTATGTGTTGGTGTGTGTGTGTTGGTGTGTGTGTGTTGGTGTGTGTGTGTTGGTGTGTGTGTGTTGGTGTGTATGTGTTGGTGTGTGTGTATGTGTTGGTGTGTGTGTTGGTGTGTATATGGTGTATGTGTTGGTGTATGTGTTCGTGTGTTGGTGTGTGTGTTGGTGTGTTGGTATGTATGTGTTGGTATGTATGTGTTGGTGTGTATGTATGTGTATGTTGATGTGTGTGTGTGTGTGTTGGTGTGTGTGTGTTGGTATGTATGTGTTGGTGTGTGTTGGTGTATGTGTTGGTGTTGGTGTGTTGGTGTATGTGTTGATGTGTATAATGTGTTGGTGTGTATGTGTTGGTGTGTGTGTATATGTTGGTGTGTTGGTGTGTATGTTGGTGTGTGTGTATGTGTTCGTGTGTTAATGTGTATGTTAGTGTGTATGTGTTGGTGTGTGTGTTGATATGTTGGTATGTATGTGTTGGTGTGTGTGTTGGTGTGTATATGGTGTATGTGTTGGTGTATGTGTTCGTGTGTTGGTGTGTGTGTTGGTGTGTTGGTATGTATGTGTATGTGTTGGTGTGTGTATGTATGTGTATGTTGATGTGTGTGTGTGTTGGTGTGTGTGTGTTGGTATGTATGTGTTGGTGTGTGTTGGTGTATGTGTTGGTGTTGGTGTGTTGGTGTATGTGTTGATGTGTATAATGTGTTGGTGTGTATGTGTTGGTGTGTGTGTATATGTTGGTGTGTTGGTGTGTATGTTGGTGTGTGTGTATGTGTTCGTGTGTTAATGTGTATGTTAGTGTGTATGTGTTGGTGTGTGTGTTGATATGTTGGTATGTATGTGTTGGTGTGTGTGTTGGTGTGTATATGGTGTATGTGTTGGTGTATGTGTTCGTGTGTTGGTGTGTGTGTTGGTGTGTTGGTATGTATGTGTATGTGTTGGTGTGTGTATGTATGTGTATGTTGATGTGTGTGTGTGTTGGTGTGTGTGTGTTGGTATGTATGTGTTGGTGTGTGTGTTGGTGTTGGTGTGTTGGTGTATGTGTTGATGTGTATAATGTGGTGTATGTGTTGGTGTTTATGTGTTGTGTGTGTATATGTTAGTGTGTATTTGTGTGTTGGTGTGTATATGTGTTCATGTGTTAGTGTGTGTATGTATTGGTGTGTTGGTGTGTTGGTGTGTTGGTGTATGTGTTCATGTGTTAGTGTGTGTATGTATTGGTGTGTTGGTGTGTTGGTGTGTGTGTTGGTGTGTATATGGTGTATGTGTTGGTGTGTGTATGTGTTCGTGTGTTGGTGTGTATGTGTATGAATGTATGTGTTGGTGTGTGTATATGTGTTGGTATGTGTGTGTTGGTGTGTGTGTTGGTGTGTATAATGTATGTGTTTGTAATGTATGTGTTGGTGTGTGTGTATGTGTTCGTGTGTTGGTGTATGTATGTATGTTGGTGTGTATGTATGTTGGTATATATGTGTTGGTGTATGTGTGTGTGTGTATGTATGTGTGTGTTGGTGTGTATGTGTTGGTGTGTATGTATAGATGTGTTGGTGTGTATGTGTTGTTGTTGGTGTATGTGTGGTATGTTGGTGTTTTAGTGTGTATGTGTTGATGTGTTGGTGTATGTGTTGATGTGTTGGTATGTATGTGGTGTGTGTGTATATGTTGAAACTTTAATCAAATATAGTTAAATTTTCACCCAGAAAATCTTTAATAGATGATATTAATATACGTTTGTAAGAAGAATTCTTTCCAAATTCATTATTAGTAAGAATATCAATAGATATGAGATGTTGAGGAATTTTCCTAATATAATCTATGAAGCACATAAGAATATTATACATGGGTATAGCTATTTTTTTGGTATTTAATAATTGATTTTGTTTATTCAGGCCTGCTTTTTTACAATTATACATAAATAAACCCTTATGAATTATAAGTATGTATAGAAAATAATATTCTATTGTATTATTCCGAAGTTGAACAATAGTCCAGTATAACGCATTACAGAATGTTTCATCCTGTAAATATTGTAAGTCGCATTCATCTAGAAAATATTCTAGGCGTTTGATAACATTATCTCTGTTTGTATTTAACCAATCAACTAGGGGCTCATTTTCACTGAAAGAAAAAAGTGGATAATGTAAACTCCTATAGATTTTTGGATAATTGGTGGATATGTAACGTATTGATTCAGAACATAATTTATTAATGTGTGGTGTTGTATCATCATTTATTTCTGGGGGTAAACAAGAGTACATTAATTGATACAAAAAAGGAAGAAAAATAAATTTTTGGAGTCGAGAAAGTAAACCAATTTCCTTTAGAATTAATATTTGATATAAAGAACATTTTAGTGTTGTTTCCATAGACATTTGATTAGGTTTATGAAATAATAAGACATTCAAAATTTCACCTAAAGTATGAAACATAATTTCAAAACTAATTGACATATTGAAATATATAGGTGTTGACATATTTTCTTTTTGAATTTGTAAAAATGCCTTAAAGGCCCAGACA